AGTGCATTTCACAAACTGATCCCAAGTTCCCTTCCCAGCCTTCCTTCTTCTCTCTTTTTTTAAACTTCTCACTTCATCCAAAGAAGTCTCCTTACTGTCTGCCCCTCTTATAAAATCCCAACCTAACTTTGTTCTTTTCCACCTAAATTCCTCTTTTTATGCATCTTTTCCTGGTCAACAAAATCCTCTTTCTCCTTTAGGCTCCAGTTCAAATTCCATTTCCTACACATAATCCTTGACAGCTCATTCTCTTACACTCACATCCCATTTGTCACCCAGGCTGAAGTGCAGTGGTGTGATCTCGGCTCACTACAACCTCCACCTCCCAGTTCAAGCAATTCTTGTGCCTCAGCCTTCTAAGTAGCTGGGATTACAGGTGTGCACCACCATGTACGGCTAATTTTTATATTTTTAGTAGAGACAGGGTCTCACCATGTTGGCCAGGCTGGTCTTGAACTCCTGACCTCAGGTGATCCACCAGTCTCAGCCTCCCAAAGTGCTGGGATTACAGGTGTGAGCCACTGCACCTGGCCTTTTGTCACATTTTAAAATCTAATATCAGAAAGTTTTGGAAAACAAGTTAGACAACTTCCTAACATTAGATGTAGATCTTGTCAGTCATCTTGACTGTAGTTTATGCATAATTCTCTTTGTGAGTGTTGGTGGGGAGATAAATAGATAGATAATTGCATGACTTATGATAAGTTCTTTTTTTTTTTTGAGACAGAGTTGGCCGGCATGGTGGCTCACGCCTGTAATACCAGCACTTTGGGAGGCTGAGGAGGGTGGATTACCTGAGGTCAGGAGTTCGAGACCAATCTGACCAACATGGTGAAACCCCATCTCAAAAAAGAGAGACCGAGTTTTGCTCTTTTTACCCAGGTTGGATTGTAGTGGTGTGATCTTGGCTTACTGCAACCTCTGCCTCCTCTGTTCAAGCCATTCTCCTACCTCAGCCTCCCAAGTAGCTGGGATTACAGGCACCCGCCACTGTGTCCAGCTAATTTTTCTTGTATTTTTAGTAGAGACGGCGTTTCACTATGTTGGCCAGGCCGGTTTCGAACTCCTGGCCTCAAGTGATCTGCCTGCCTTGGCCTCCCAAAGTGCTGGGATTACAAGCGTGAGCCACCATGCCTGGCCTCTTATGGTAAGCTTTTTTTTTTTTTTTTTGAGATGGAGTCTCACTCTGTAGCCCAGGCTGGAGTACAGTGGCACAATCTCAGCTCACTGCAACCTCTGCCTCCTGGGTCCTGGTTCAAGCAATTCTCCTACCTCAGCCTCCCAAGTAGTTAGGATTATAGGCACAAGCCACCATGCCCAGCTAATATTTTTATTTTTTAGTAGAGACAGGGTTTCACCATTGCCAGTCTGGTCTTGAACTCCTGACCTTGTGATCCACTTGCCTCAGCCTCCCAAAGTGCTGGGATTATAAGCCCACTGAGCCACTGAGCCTGGCTGGTGAATTCTTACTTAATTTTAAAATTTGACAGTACAAACAACAACAAAAAAAAACAGAGTAACATTTTAGTACTCATAAAATATATAAAATATGGCCGGGCCCGGTGGCTCATGCCTATAATCCCAGCACTTTGGGAGGCTGAGGCGGGTGGATCACGAGGTCTAGAGATCGAGACCATCCTGGTCAACAAGGTGAAACCCTGTCTCTACTAAAAATACAAAAATTAGCTGGGCATGGTGGTGCGTGCCTGTAGTCCCAGCTACTCGGAAGGCTGAGGCAGGAGAACTGCTTGAAACCAGAAGGCGGAGGTTGCGGTGAGCCGAGATTGTGCCATTGTACTCCAGTCTGGGTAACAACAGCGAAACTCCGTCTCAAAAAAAAAAAAAAATATATATATATATATATTTGTGAGCCAGGCATGGTGGGGCATACTTGTAGTCTCAGCTACTTGGCAGGGGAAGCAGGAGGATCATTTAACTCCAGGAGTTCAAGGCCAGACTGGGTACATAGCCAGACAAAAAAATACACACAAACACACACACACACACACACAGACACACACATGAGATAAGTGAATTTTGTCTGGCATGCATTAAGTACTTTATGTGACAGAATATGTTTTGCATTTCTAAATTAAGACATTCAAGCCTCTTTTTCAAACAACATGGTTACCCAAATGTAATTTTTCTTGGTATTATTCTCTTTGGACATTAACGGTCAGATTGCTTTATCTATATCATATGTGCTGTAACAGAAAATAAATTCTAGGTACATCATGTGACATATAAAGTGAGATTTATAGTAGCTAGGAGTGGTGGCTCAGGACTGTAATCCCAGCTATTTGGGAGCCTGAGGCAGGAAGATCACTGTAGCTCAGGAGTTCAATTCCAGCTTGAGCAACACAGCAAGCCCCTGTCTCAATTTTTTTCTATTAATCTGATTTATAAACAAGTAACATAGTTTTAAAATTTTTTTAAAGTTATCTTGTCCAGGAGTTTAAGACAAGCCTGGGCAACATGAGGAAACCCTGTTGTTAGAAAAAATACAAAAAATGGTGACGTGCATCTGTAGTCCAGCTACTAGAGAAGCTACAGTGAGCTGAGATCATGCCACTGTACTCCAGCCTGGGGAACAGAGCAAGACCCTGTCTCAAAAACAAAAGTCATCTTGAGGCCTATGCATAGAAGTAGCTCCGAATATATCCCAGTTGTAAACCTTCATGTTGTGTGATTACACCTAGAGAAAAGGGGTTGACTTTCACAGATTTCTCCATTCTAAAATTCTCACGATCTGGAGAATCACAATACAAACAGGAGCTAAGAATAAGCCAACCTGGCCAGGCGCGGTGGCTCACACCTGTAATCCTAGCCGTTTGGGAGGCCGAGGCAGGCTGATCACATGAAGTTAGGAGCTGGCTAACTCCTAACTTTAGTAGAGATGGTGAAACCCCATCTCTACTAAAAATACAAAAATTAGCTGGGTATGGTGGCACACTGTAACCCTAGCTACTAAGGAGGCTGAGGCACAAGAATCGCTTGAACCTTGGAGGTGGAAGTTGCAGTGAGCCAAGATTGTGTCACTGCACTCTAGCCTGGGCAACAGAGCGAGATTCCATCTCAAAACAAATAAATAAATAAAATCAACCAATTTCTTTATTTTTTTTAGACAGTTTTGCTCTTGTTGCCCAGGCTAGAGTGCAGTGGCATGGTCTCAGCTCACTGCAACCTCCACCTCCCAGATTCAAGCAATTCTCGTGCCTTCCAAGTAGCTGGGATTACAGGTTCCCACCACCACGCCCGGCAAATTTTTGTATTTTTAGTTGAGACAGGGTTTCCTCATGTTGGCCAGGCTGGTCTCAAACTCCTGACCTCAAGTGATTCACCCACCTCGGTCTCCCAAAGTGCTAGAATTATAGGCATGAGCCACTGCACCCAGCTTCAATGTCTAAATACTTATTTGCACTTCTAAAAAGTCTCAGAGTGTTAAATGAAATCTAGGCCAAGTGGAGTGGTTTATGCCTGTAATCCCAACACTGTGGGAGGGTGAAGCAGGAGGACTGGTTGAGGCCAGGAGTTTGAGACCAGCTTGGGCAACATAGCAAGAACTCATCTATTAAAAAAAAAAAAAAAAAAAAATAGCTGGGCACGGTGGTACACGCATGTAATCCCAGCTTCTCAACAGAGGCTGAGGTGAGCGGGCGCTTGAGCCTGGCAGATAGAGGCTGCAGTGAGCTATGATCATGCTACTGGACTCTAACCCCGTGTGACCGAAATACGGTCTCAGAAAAAAACGAAAAAAGTTAATAAAGATAAAGAGTTACAGTAAGCCAAGCTTATTATTGAGAAAAAATATTTTATAAACTTAATGTAGCCTAAGTTTATGGTGTGTATAAAGTTCACAGTAGTGTACAGTAATGTTCTAGGCCTTCACATTAGTTCAGCACTCCCTGACTCACCCAGACCAGCTTCCAGTCCTGCAAGCTCCCTTCATGGCAACTGCCCTATACAGGTGTACTATTTTTTTCTTTTGTATCATACTTTTACTGTACCCTTTCTATGTTTAGGGATGTTGATACACAAATACAGTTGCCTACAGTATCCAGGTACAGTAACGTGCTGTCCAGACTTACAAGAGCAATAGGCTATATCATACAGCCTAGGTGTGTGGTAGGTCATACCATCTTGGTTTTTGTAAGAGCACCCTATGGTGTTTGTACATGATGAAATCACCTAATGATGCATTCATCAGAACATATCCATCATTAAATGACACATGACTGTATTTATGAAAAATCCATCAGAGGCCAGGTGCAGTGGCTCCCACCTGTAGTCCTAGCACTTTAGGAGGCTGAGGTGGGAAGATCACTTGAGCCCAGGAGTTTGAGACAAGCCTGTGCAACATAGTGAGTCCCCATCTCAAAAAACAAAACAAAAACAAAACCCATCAGCATCTCAAACAAGGTAAAGGTTTAACAAACATTACTTCTCTTCCCCCTCATTTTCTTCCTTGTGAAAATGTTTCAATTTCAGGCCAGGACACAAAATTCAATTCCTAATAAAACAAAGTGTCCTGGACTTGGGTTCAACTGAAATAAACCAATTCTAGACAGGCAACACCATTCATATCTTATTCTCTCACATTCCTTTTTTTTTTTTTTTTTTTTGAGACGGAGTTTCGCTCGTTACTCAGGCTGGAGTGCAATGGTGTGATCTCGGCTCGCCGCAACCTCCGCCTCCTGGGTTCAGGCAATTCTCCTGCCTCAGCCTCCTGAGTAACTGGGACTACAGGTATGCGCCACCATGCCCAGCTAATTTTTGTATTTTTAGTAGAGACGGGGTTTCACCATGTTGACCAGGATGGTCTCGATCTCTTGACCTCGTGATCCACCTGTCTCGGCCTCCCAAAGTGCTGGGATTACAGGCATGAGCCACTGCGCCCGGCCTCTCTCACATTCCTACACAGGACTTTAATTTTAAGTAATGTTAAATGTTTAATGTGTTTGCAAGATAGAGAGCCAAAGAACCCACAAAAAGAGAACATGTTCAATTTCACAACTTTATTAAAAATAAACGTATAAGTAAACAAATCATAACTTTATAAATCAAAGTTCATTGGGATTAAGGAGAACCTGGGTATAAGAAGACCTGGTACAGAGAGGTCTCAGGATCTTTTCCTGAATGGGAGTACATACGAGGTAGGGAAGGGCAAACCACAAACCAGAACAAAGCTGCTGCTCCCAGGTTCTCTTTCTTCCACCTTCCCACACAGCATGCAGTCAGCCCCTGAGCTCTCCTCAACTGCACTACAAAGGCCACCCCCAGCACAGCCAAGTCCTAGGCTCCCTCTCCTTGCAGCCAAGCACCACCTTAGTGATTTCCATCTTAGGGCTTTCCTTTAAAAGCTCACACCCCACATGCCTTTTCAGTCAGCTCTCTCACCGCTCTCATTTAACTCTTCCCCAACTCCCCAGCCCACCTTCTGCCAGCTCCTTCACTCACTGCATTTTCCACTTCTACTATACAGAACATTATTCATCAAACAGGAACCATGCCATGCAGAAACACAACTGGTGTTTCACGTTTTCCTCACAGTGAATACATTCCACACACTGGCTCTTCTCACCTTTAACTCAAAACCTGTTGTCTCTGTCCCTGAAAAATGACCTTGGTATCTTTCTCAGTGAAGAATATAGACAGCTATTTTGAATTCCATCATCTACTCCATTCTTATTTTCTCTAATCTCACTTTATGGTTATTGTTTAGCCTATTTGGGGAGCAAAGAAACGTCATGATAAAGGGAATGACAAGGAGATTCAACAAGGAAAGAAAGGGGAAAAGAAAGCAAGGAGGGGGAGCTACATACTTTCTTTGACACTGTTTAAGATCTTTTATTTTTTTTGAGATGGAGTTTCGCTCTTATTGTCCAGCCTGGAGTACAATGGCACGATCTCAGATCTCTGCAATCTCCGCCTCTCAGATTCAAGTGATTCTCCAGGCTCAGCCTCCTCAGTAGCTGGGACTACAGTGCCTGCCACCATACCCAGCTAATTTTTGTATTTTTAGTAGAGATGGGGTTTCTCCATGTTGATCAGGGTGGTCTTGAACTCCCGACCTCATCAGGTGATCCGCCTGCCTCGGCCTCCCAAAAGTGCTGGGATTATAGGGAAGAGCCATCACGCCTGGCCTAAATCTTTAAAAAATGATTTTCTCGTAGGATGCAGCTCATGCCTGTAATGCCAGTACTTTGGGAGGTCATGGTGGGAGGACTGCTTGAGCCCAGGATTTTGAGACCAGCCTGGTGACAGAGACCCTTGTCTCTACAAAAAAATTTAAAAAAAATTATCTGGGCATGGTGTTATGTGCCTATAGTCCTGGCTACTTGGGAGGCTGAGGAGAGGGGATCCCTTGAGCCCAGGAGGTTCAGGCTGCAGTGAGCTACAATTGTACCACTGCACTCCAGCCTGGGTAACAGAGTTAGACCCCGTCTCAAAAACAAACAGACAAAAAATGAAACTCAGTGCTTATTTCTCTCCTTCTGTTTTTAAATCAGATTTTTTTCTCATCACTTGCACAGATCAGAATATCAAATGCTATAAGCTGCCACATATTCCATGGTCTTGATTCTTTTTCTCATAGATCTCTCTAATAGCATAAGGCGTTGCTGATCTCTACAGAATACTGTTTTCCTTTTGATTCCCATCATTCTATTCTACCCAGGTTCTCCAAGTGTTATGTCAGCAAATGTTTACTGAGTGCTCAACTTGTTTTGAATGATGTGCTAAAGGCTTAGAACAAAACAGTAAACATGGAAGCAGATAATGTAATATTTCCTGGTCCTATTCTAGAATCTGTTTGTATAGGTGATTCATGCACACTCAAGTTTGGTACCATGATAAGGAAAGATACATTCTCTTTAGCTTCAGTAATCTGAGATTTCATTTCTAATGCAATTTTCTTCCATATGCATATAACATCTCCATCTGCCACAAAAATTTTAGTGTTCACTCTTTTTTTTTTTTTTTTTTGAGACAGTCTAGTTCTGTTGCTCAGGCTGGAATGAAGTGGGGAGATCTCAGCTTATTGCAATGTCTGCCTCCCAGGTTCAAGTGATTCTGATGCCTCAGCCTCCTGAGTAGCTGGGATTAGAGGTGTGTGCCACTGTGCCTTGTTATTTTTCTTTTTCGTATTTTTAGTAGAAACAGATTTTGCCATGTTGGCCAGGCTGATCAAACTTCTGGCCTGAAGTGATTTACCTGCCTTGGCCTCCCAAAGTGCTGGGATTATACATGTGAGCCACGGGGCTCAGACTAATTCATTTTTTATTGTGGTAAAATATATATAAGATTTACAATTTTAACCATTGTTTTTCAGGATTGGGAAAATCCTTTATTTCTCTATGGAATTACAGAATTTTAACCATTTAAAAGTATTCGGGGGGAAAAAAAAGTATTCGGTTAAGTGGCATTAAATACTTTCGCATTGTTGTAAAACCAAGAGCCCTATCCAGCTTTAGAAATGTTTTTCTTTTTTTGAGACCAAGTTTCGCTCTTGTCACCCAGGCTGGAGTGCAGTGGCGCAATCTCAGCTCATTGAAACCTTAGCCTCCCGAGTAACTGGGATTACAGGCATGCGTCACCATACGTGGCTAATTTTGTATTTTTAGTACAGACGGGGTTTCTCCATGTTGGTCAGACTGGTCTCAAAACTCCCAACCTCAGGTGATCTGCCCGCCTCAGCCTCCCAAAGTGCTGGGATTATAGCATGAGCCACTGCACCTGGCCAGAAACTTTTTCATCTTCCCAAACTGAAACTCTGTACCCATTAACTCACTTTAAGCCAATAACGATTTTCACGGTTAAATTCATAGCCTCCACTCCCATTCTTCTCTTACTTTCCTACCCAGCTAACATTCCAAGGTTCATCATCAAAATCATCCCCCTGCAACTTCTCTCAAGGTCCTGACACTGCTTCTCCTCTGTCAAACCTGCAGGGCAAAACACCAATTTTGGGTAATCACCTGCCTTCTCTTTGCTACCCTCATAACAGCTGAATATTGCTGGCAGAAAAAAAAATCACACAACTAGCTCAGCTGATTGGTTTTACCTTAAATTCACAACCCCAAGCCACAGTGAGGCATTCAACAAGGCCCAGCACTGAAACTATCCTGTTTCCCATTCAGTTCCTTGTCCTACTGCTCAAGGTGAAGTATACATCTCTCCTGAAATCATCCACTACCCCTTCTTTGTAAGTTGCTGGTCTTGCCTCAGACTTCACTGAGAAAACAGAAGCCATCAGAAAGTAAAGTCCTATATTCTACCTCCAATTCGCCTTGCACTTTCGCCCCATTCTCTATCTTATGCCACACTGTGTTTTCTTGCTGCCACCAAAGGCAAGTGCTCTTCCTGTGTCTTGAATTCCTTAAGAATGCTGCTCCTGGCCAGGTGTGGTACAGACCTGTAACCCCAGCACTTTGGTAGGCCAAGGCAGATGGATCACCTGAGGTCAGTTCGAGACCAGCCTGGCCAACATGGTGGAACCATGTCTCTACTAAAAATACAAAGTTAGTCAGGGGTGGTGGTGCATACCTATAATCCCAGCTACTTGAGGGGCTGAGGCAGGAGGTCTGCTTGAACCTGGGAAGTGGAGGCTGCAGTGAGCCAAGATCATGCCGCTGCACTCCAGTCTGGGCAACAAGAGCAAAACTGCTTCTCAAAAAAAAAAAAAAAAAAAAAATGCTGCTCCTTTGGTACTACTTGGTCTTGCTTCTGGATTAGTCTCACCCTCACCTTCTCTATTAAATATTCTCATTAGCCTATCTAGTTCTCTTTGTTTAAAAGAAAAGCCCTCTTCTTTACATAGGGAGACCCTGTCTCTACAAAAATAAAAAAATGAGGGGCCGGGCGCGGTGGCTCAAGCCTGTAATCCCAGCCCTTTGGGAGGCCGAGGTGGGTGGATCATGGGGTCAAGAGATCGAGACCATCATGGTCAATTTGGTGAAACCCCATCTCTACTAAAAATGCAAAAAATTAGCTGGGCATGGTGGCGCATGCCTGTAATCCCAGCTACTCAGGAGGCTGAGGCGGGAGAATTGCCTGAACCCAGGAGGCAGAGGTTGCAGGGAGCCAAGATCACGCCATTGCACTTCAGCCTGGGTAACGAGTGAAACTGTCTCAAAAAAAAAATTAATTAGTTAGGTATGGTGGTGCATACCTGTGGTCCCAGCTACTCAGGAGAGGCTAAGGTATGAGGATCACTTGAGCCCAGGAGGTCGAGGCTGTGGTGAGCCAGGATTGCACCACTGCACTCCAACCTGGATGACTGAGACAAAGAAAGAAAAGAAAAAAGCCCTCTTCTTTGACCCCATCTCCCTCTCCAGCCACTAAGCTGTTTCTCTCCACTTTACAGCAGCAAAATTTCCCTAGCAAGCTGTCGATATTCACCTCACTTTCTATTCTCTCTTCAGAGCATTCCAATATGGCTTGGATCCTCACATGCCACTGAAACTACTTGTCAAAACAGTCACCATCATGTTGTCAAATCCAATAGACATCTCTCTATTCTCATTGTTTTAACTTCTCAGCAGCATTTGACAGAGGTGATCATTTCCTCTTTCTTGAAAAGGATAAAATATTCTCCCGCTTTAATGGCTGAGCCTTTCAGTCTCCTTTGCCCAAGCTTTAGCCATTGTTAGTGTTTTGGGGTGGGTCCCCCGCCCAACCCCGCTGCCCGCCACAGATCTGGCTGTGTGGGAGACCAGAGTTTTATTACTCAAATCAGTCTCCTAGGGCTTGATCTTAAGGCCACAAATGTTCTCAATCAGTCCCATGACATGCCATCTGTGTATTAGTGACTCCCGAAATTTATGTCCAGTCTAGGTCACTCCCCTCAGCTCAACTTAAATATTCACTGCCTACTTAACTGTCCACTTGGATGTCTCCCAATTATTAAAACATACAACAGGTTCCACACAGAACTCTTGCTACCCATCCCTCCCTACCTGTTCTTTCTCCAACCAGCAAATGGTGCCATGTGGCAGTCCAAGGCTTGGGCCGGCAACCTGAAGGGACCCTGGATTCCTCCCTCTCCCTCCAAAGCCAACCCAGTAAGCAAATCCTTCTGATTCCATCTCCAAAATATGTGAAAACTGCTGTCTACTCTTCTGCATCTCATTGCTACTTTACTTGCCTGAGATCCTACCCATCTTGGACTGACTATTGCAATAGCCTCCTAACCTCCCTCTCTGTTTCCTGTCTTCCTCTACATAGCCAATTATCTTTAAAAACAAAAACATGATCACTGCCTGAATTAAAACCCTTCTCATTGCCATTCGAATAAAATCCAAAAATTCCCCCTATGGCTTAATATAAGACCTACAGGATCTCTCCAACTCCATCTCATTCCACTCTTCCCTTGCTCAGAGGAGCCTTCTCTCCAGTCTAACACCTAGCCTTCCAGATCTTTGCACTTGTTCCCAGGTCTGGAATGTCTCCCCAGCTTTTCACATGGCTAGCACAAGTTCTTGTTTCAAGTCTCAGCTCAAATGTCACCCCTACAAAGAAACTTTTCGTGACCCTTACTAGCCAAAACGGTTATTCCCAACATACTTTTAGATCCCCCAGCCACTTATCTTATATTTTTCTTAATCTGTCCTTATCTTGATTATTTGTGTTTAACTATTTTCTGTCCTTCCTCACTACACTGTAAATTCCATGAGTGCAGAGATCTTGTCTGTCTGGAATTCCAGTAAAGGTTACTTTAAAGAAGCTACTGTTTCCCTCTACACAGGTTTATTTTAGATTTCCACCTTGTTTCAAGCTTTAAATGGATTTTAGTCAAAGATTGTAATTACTTTGGCATTTACCATAAAAAACAAGGGGAGAAAAACCACAAGTGACTTCCCTTTAAAAACTGGAAGTCACACCACCCACCTAGTGATCTAGACTGGACACAGACTGCACAGAGGTATTCAACAGATTCTCCTTACAAAAATTTTCCAATGTGTACATACGCAAAGATGGTAAATTCTGACATATGCATCAAAAATCTAAGTTTTAAACTACTCTCCCTAGCAATTACTAAACACAACAATGATTTGAGGAGAATCAACAAGGGGAAGCACAAAATCAGTAAAATACATGATCCTTGGTCCAGAGAAGTTAATGATCCTATCACTGACTTGGTTCTTTCTCACTTTAGTAAGGTCATTCCTGACTAGTGATTTTATCCATGTTCTGCTCTTATTAGGTTCCACATTTAGAATAACCTGACCATTCTACTTCCCAAAACCCAGAAGCTATGTCCACAATTCAAAATTCAGGAAACCATCTTTTCTTTCAAGGATTTATCTTCAGGTCTTTATTTCAGGGTTTGTTGCTGGTTTTCGTTTTTGAGACAGAGTTTTGCTCTTGCTGCCCAGCCTAGAGTGCAATGGTGGGATCCTGAGTCACCGAAACCTCCGCCTCCCGGGTTCAAGCAATTCTGCCTCAACCTCCCGAGTAGCTGGGATTACAGGCATGCGCCACCATGCCTAGCTAACATTGTATTTTTAGTAGAGGTGGGGTTTCTCCATGTTGGTCAGGCTGGTCTAGAACTCCTGACCTCAGGTGATCTGCCCACCTAGGCCTCCCAAAGTGCTGAGATTACAGGTGTTGAGCCACCTCGCCCGGACTATTTCAGGGTCTTTTCTACCCTATTCTTAATTTCTGGATCAAGCCTAGATTCAATTTTTTTTTTTTTTTGAGACAGAGTTTCGTTCTTGTTGCCCAGGCTGGAGTGTAATGGCACAGTCTCAGCTCACTGCCACCTCCACCTCCTGCATTCGATTCTCCTGCCTCAAGTGATTCCCTTGGCTAATTTTTTTGTATTTCTAGTAGAGATGGGGCTTCACTATGTTAGTTAGCCAGGCTGGTCTCAAACTCCTGACCTCAGGTAATCCATCCACCTTGGCCTCCCAAAGTGCTGGGATTACAGGTGTGAGCCACCCCTCCTGGCCTTAATTCTATTTTTGTTGCACAGTTGTCTTAACTAGATGGCCTAGCTAGACCTAGAAGCCTGTATGTTGTATAACCTCCCCATAGAATGAGACAATATACTTTAAAAAATGTACTGAGATTTTAAGGTCTTAGGATACCTAAACCTTTTTCTCTGAGAAAATAATTTTGACTATTTGATAAATGGCATCTGGAAGAGGAAAAATAAAAATGAGACTAACATGATTAAAAAACTGCTGAAACTCAAAATGATATGGACCTCAATTTTGTGTTCCAATTCAAAAAAGAGCCAGCAGAACAGTGCAAGCGAAGTACAAGACAGCCCAAATGTGTATCTATGTCACACCGGAATCTCCTGGAGAGCTTTGGAATACTAGATCTTCAGATGCAGCGGGTACAGGGTGGGCCAGAATTTCAATACTGAACATCAAGAAGTTGGATTGCCTGAGACATTAAAAAATGACCCAATTGGCCCTAGCAAATGATGGTGGAAGAGGTGATGTTACAAGTCTATATTCAAAAACATCTCCCCAGTTAATTCTGATGCTCAGATTTGGAACCCATAGGTGCAGAGAGAAGAACACAGCTTTTGTCATCCAATGCCAATTTTACCACTTAAACCAGCAAGATCTCGAACAATTAATTACTATATTTCTATGAACGTTCATCCATTCCCCAGTAGACAAATCATAAAATCAATCTTTCAGGACTGATAAAACAGAAATTATACAAAGCACCAAGCACAGTTCCTGGCATACAGCAGGTCGGTCTTTTTAAATGGTCTAAAGCATCCACTATGTGTATTTATAAACACAAGGACACACCTAGTGGCACCACTGTTACTTTTCTCTCATAGAAATTAACTACTTACTTTCCATGTCTGTGGACTTTTAGAGAGATAGAGCTTTACAGACCTTTCCCTTTTTCAGTAACAATGTAAAAGTTAAAAACCCCTCTCCCATCTCTAATAGATACTACCAACAGATACTTTATACGGATGTTTTTTTAGAAAAGGAAGACTTTCAGAGTGTTTTAAAGCATATTGAAAGATCAGACTTCTAAGAAACTGTTTTGATTCACTGCCATTTGAGTAATATAAAAGACAAGAAGTTTCAAAAAACTGGAACCCATTCCCTTCCCACAATCTGACAACTAGTAAATGTCTCCCCAGGGTTGTTTTGAAGTAAGAAATGAAGGGTAGCGTACCCATAGAGAACCATGTTCCCGGAAGGCAGACACACTGTCCTCGACTGTTTTTTTACTTTTGTAACCTGGCTGGACTCTACTTTCAATAACTGGAGGAGGATGAAAGCAAAGCCTCAATGCCCTGCCCCATGCCGGGTCACGGAAAACAAAGGCGTCCACTCTCAGACAGCAGGAGAGAAGATGGCTAGAGCTCCTCACCTCCAATTTTGACTGGGGGCAGTGGGGGTGCGGGGTCAAATAGGGAGGGAACCCATCAGCGGTGAGGCTCGACCCTCAGCCCCCTTCTTCCATCACAAACAAGTGGGAAGCAGCAAGCAGCTGGCCCCAGCCCTTCCCGCTCCGACCCGGCCTAGTCTTTTGGGTCTGGGGGTTTGGGGAAGGAGAAGGCCGGGCGAGTCCGGCCCCATCTCCAGAATTCAGCACCTTGCTCCCGGCTCCCGCTGGCCCCCGGCCTCGCGGCGCCCTGGTCAGCAAAATGTCCTCGGAGGGCGCCACCCACGCCGCGAGAAAGATGGCGCCCGTCGAGCAACTGCGCCACCAGCCCTGGCGACAGGCCAGGCCCAGCGCCATCTTAGCACCTTCCAACTGCACCCCTCCACCAAAGCAAAATCCGGCATTCGGGGCGACTCGGGGGGCGCGAACAGCGTCAGGCCCGCGCGCTCTCGGCCAAAAAGCGCTGCCCCAGCCGCTCATCTCTTCTGGCCGGAGCGGCGGACAGTGCGGGCCTTGCAGGAGGCGCCTGTCTGGGCCGCGGGGTCCTCCGCGCGGCTGGGGGCTCGCTCGGACCCGGCCGCGGATCCTCGGCGGAGCTTCGGGAAGTCAGCGAGGCGGCTGGGAAGGGGCAGTCCCGCCGGCAGCTACGCGCCGGCGCCGCCGCGGGCTCGGAGCGGGAGCGGGAGCCGGGCCGCGGACGACCCGCCGGCCCTGAGCTCTCCCTGCCGCAGCCCGGACCTGCTCTCCTCGCCGCCGCCTTCTGCAGATGCGGCGGGAAGGAGGAAACCAGGATGAAAAATAAACCCCGTCCCCGCCGCCTCCCTCCCCACCCTCTCCCCTCCCCCTCCCCAGACGCGGGGTCCATTTTGCCGAGAAGAAAGAAAATATGATTCACACCCTAGAGCTTCCGAGAGAGAAAAGAAACGAGGGGGGGAAAACAGAGGGGTGGAGATTGGAAAAGCTTATTTTTCTTCCTCGCCCGCCGTCACTCCAGGCCCTCCCTGCCCCCTGCTCGCGGCCCCGCAGCGCCGTCTTCCCCTCGCCGATCCCCGCTCCCTCCTTCCCGGCTCCCGGCGGCTCCGGGGGGCGGAAAACACACTCACTCGCGCACACAACTAATTTTAAACCGGCTCAATCAATGAGTCATTAAAAGGCTTCCCTCCCCTCCCCTCCCCTCCCCACCACCAACCGCCACGCCACCCCCTTCCCGGGCTCTCCCTCTCCCCGCTCCAGAAATTTGCATCCGCGGAAAAGAGAAAAAAAAAAAAAAAAAAAAAGGAAAAAGAAAGGCGCCGGGCCCCCACCCCGCCGAGGCGCCCCCGGCCCGGTCTCGCCGCCCCCTGCCCGCCTGCGCCCCCGCCCGAGACACTGAACTTGGTCTTCCCGGGGCCCCGGCGGCGCTGGGAAAGGCATAAACACCCGATTCCCCTTTTCTCCGTGTCCATTAAACATCCACCCACCACCACCATTCACCCACCCACAAACCCACCCCCCCCCCAAAAAAAAAACACAGCCTTAGCCAATAGCTCTCTGGGCTGAAACCTAATATCCTGGTTTTGGCAACTCGGTGTTTAATTTGCTCCTCTTTCTTTTCTGTCTGTCTGGAGACAGATCTCCAGCCCCCCCTCCCTCGCTTTTCCCCTCCCCGAAGGAAAGAGGCAGAGGAAGGAGGTTGTGTGTTTTTTTTTTTCTCCTTGAAATTTTTATCACAAAATTATAATACACTCAAAGGGAAACTCACCGTCATGAAAAAGCAGTGCCTTGTCAACGGGGTTTCTGCGCCATCGCAACAGGGGCGGCGGTGGCGGCGGCGGCGGCGGGCGCGGGGCGCGGGGCGCGAGCGCGGGAGCTCCCGGCCGAGCGGCGCCGGCCACACGCGCTCCGCTCTCTCTCTCGCTCACCCCCGCGCCGGGCGGCGGGCGCCCGCTCCCCGCGCCCGCCCGGCCTTCATGCTCTGTGCCTGGGCAAACCGCTCGCCTGCTCGTCTACCTCCAAACTTCGGTTCTCGCCTGGCAAAAAATGTGGAGATTAGGATTTTTTTAATTAAAAAAAAAAAATTTTTTTTTTTTCTGGAAAATCAAGCTCCAAGGATGTTCATTCCTGTTTCCTTTGGGATTCTTTTTAACTTCAGAAATGTATTGGTTTATTCAATAAACAGTTTTATTTGGCTTTTAAAACAATTATTAAGATCCCGAGGTGAGTGCTAAATTTCTCTTGCAGGCTCCCCACCCCCCACAGTTTTAGCTTGACACGGGAAGAGGGGGAGATTAAACACCAAAATATAAAAATAAAACACCCTGCGAGATTTGTTTACAACTCGAATTAGAGCAAGCCTCGGTAAATACATTTTGCATATGCTTTTTAAAAACCAAAACCACTTTTAACTTAGTTATTAGGCAACTAACTAGTTCATCCTAACTTTTAAATATACTAACCTTTCCTTTGCAACACTGTCCATTCCAAAATTCTGTGAAACCTTACCTCTGAAGCCGGTATGTCAACATTAAAAAGGAAAACAAAAAAACTTTACTAAAAGGAAAGTGAGGCAGAGTAAATCACTCTCAAAACATTCATTTTCTACTGCCTTCTCTTTAATGTAGGTATCTTTTATCTCCATATTATCAGAATTTATCTCCATATTTGCAGAATTTTCATAGCTTCCTCATTCTTAAAAGAGAGCTAGTCAACCTTTTAACATTCTTTGGTCCGAGTATAATTACCACCCATTTTTAATCTCAAATCTCAAATTGTTGAGACTTCTCCAAAAACCATCTAGTACCCAAAGCATTTAAATTATGTGGCCCAGGTCCGGTGTGGTGGCTCACGCCTGTAATCCCAGCAGTTTGGGAGGCTGAGACCGGTGGATCACATGAGTTAAGGAGTTCAAGACCAGCCTGGCCAACATGGTAAAACCTCGTCTCTACTAAAAATGCAAAAGTTAGCTGGGCTTGGCAGTGGGCTCGGCAGTGGGCTCCTGTAAACCGAGCTACTCAGGAGGCTGAGGCAGGAGAATCACTTGAACCTGAGAGACGAAAGTTGCAATGAGCCAAGATTGCGCATTGCACTCCAGCCTGCGACAGAGCGAGACTCAAAAAAAAAAAATGTATTTGGCCTGGAGTGGGAGCACGTGCCTTTGTAGTCTAGGTTAACTACAAATGCCCACAAAATATATTGGGGTTTTTGCTGTTGTCTTTTCTTTTAAATAAACATCAAGGATAGGTAAAAGATGAATTGTACAGAATGTAATTCAGGTTTTAAACAGTACGTACTGGCTGGGTGCAGTGGCTCACGCCTGTAATCCCTGCACTTTGGGAGGCTGAGGTGGGCGGATCACATGAGTTTGAGACCAGCCTGGCCAACGTAGTAAAACCCTGTCTCTACTAAAATACAAAACATTAGCCAGGCATGGTGGCAAACCCCTGTAATCCCAGCTACTCAGGAGGCTGAGGCAGGACAATCACTTGAACCTGGAAGGCAGAGGCTGCAGTGAGCTGAGATCATGCCACTGTACTCCAGCCTGGACAACAGAGCAAGACTCTGTCTCAAAAAAAAAAAGAAAAGTACATATTAAGCCTCAGAAATATTATAAATTGCTTTAAAATTCATTTGTAATGCATATAGCAATAGGATCCTGCTGATAAACCAAATGCTCAGCTGCTCTGCCGATGGAGCAGCCATTCTCAAATGGCTCAAACCTATCTCTCCCAGATATTTGGTGAGTTCTCAATATCCATAGATTAAAATTATTTAAGTGAAATTATTGTATGGTTTCTATATCCCCTTAGCATTAAAAAAAAAAAAAAAAAAAAAACCAGCCGGGCGCGGTGGCTCAAGCCTGTAATCCCAGCACTTTGGGAGGCCGAGGCGGGTGGATCATGAGGTCAAGAGATCGAGACCATCCTGGTCAACATAGTGAAATCCCGTCTCTACTAAAAATACAAAAATTTGCTGGGCATGGTGGCACGTGCCTGTAATCCCAGCTACTCAGGAGGCTGAGGCAGGAGAATTGCCTGAACCCAGGAGGCAGAGGTTGCGATGAGCTGAGATTGCGCCATTGCACTCCAGCCTGGGTAACAAGAGCGAAACTCCGTCTCAAAACAAAAACAAAACAAAAAAACCCTTAGTGGTAGTACACCTTTCCTGCATATATAAGGATACTGTAACTAGACTATATTGAATAAATTAAATCTGTCAAGGCTGGCATACAATGTTGTCATATTCAACACAGAAGATCTTTTTAGTCAGGGTGCAGTGGTTCATACCTGTAATCCTAGCACTTTGGGAGGCTGAGAAAGGAGGACCATTTGAGGTGAGAAGTTCAAGATGAGCCTGAGCAACACAGCACAAGATCCCATCTCTAAAAATATTTAAAAATCAGCCAGGTATGTGTGACACATGCTTGCAGTCCCAGCTACTGGGGAGGCTGAGGTGGGAGGACCACTTGAGCCCACGAGTTGGAGGTTGCAGTGAGCTATGATCATGCCGCTGCACTCCAGCCAGGTTAAAAGAGTGAGACCCTGTCTCTAAAAAATAATAAAATAAAAAAGATCTGGCTGGGTGCAGCAGCTCATACCTGTAATCCCTTTGGGAGGCCGAGGTGAGAGGACTGCTTGAGGCCAGGAGTTAAAGAGCAGCCTGGCCAAATGGCAAAACCCTGTCTCTACCAAAATATAAAAATTAGCCAGGCATGGTGGCATGCACCTATAGTCCCAGCTACTCCAGAGAGGCTGAGGCACAAGAATTGCTTGAGATTGGATGATAGAGCAAGACTCTGTCTCAAAAAAAAACAAACAAAAAAAAACCACCATATTTTGTTCCAGTACTGCCATTTTGTCATTCATAATGTATGCTTTATATTTAAATGTGCCTTAAAAATACATTCAGTGATTTAGTATCATACAGTATCATTGAGGTGTTTTCTCAGATATTTTGCTGCAAATGCGGCCAAGGGCTTCTTGGAACAGTAGTCTTTGTATAAATTAGCATATTTCTCTACAGTTGATGGTTGGACCAACTAGTTTTCTAATTGGCTTGGAAAATTTTTTAAACATGCTTTAAGGAGCCTTTGGATTGGTTACGATTTAATTGTAATACCAATTCCTAAGAATTACATTTCTAGAGTCCATATATTATGCATTACAATTAGGACCCACCAAGCAAGTTTTACAGCTGTTGCTCCATAGCTCTGATGATATATGTGTGTGTGAGTGTGATTTTCTTTATTTTCTTGAGACAGGATCTTCCTCTGTTACCCAGGCTGGAGTGCAGAGGTATGAGCATTTATCACTATAGCCTGACTCCTGGGCTCAAACAATCCTCTAGCCTCAGCCTTCCTAGTAGTGGGTAATATAGGTGCACACCACCACACTCGGCCATTTTTTTTACTTTTTGTTTTTTTTTTTGAGACAGAGTTATGCTCTGTTGCCCAGGCTGGAGTGCAGTGGCTCGATCTTGGCTCACTGCAGCCTCTACCTCCTGGGTTCAAGCAATTCTCCTGCTTCAGTCTCCTAAAGTAGCTGGGACTACAGGTGCACGCCACCACACCCGGCTAATTTTTTTTGTATTTTTAGTAGAGAAGGGGTTTCACCATGTTGGCCAAGATGGTCTCAATCTCCTGACCTCATGATCCGCCTGCCTTGGCCACCCAAAGTGCTGGGATTAGAGGGCATGAGCCACTGTGCCCGGTCTTGGCCAGTTTTTTAGTTTTCAAGAGACAGGGTCTTGCTTTGTTGCCCTGGTTGGTTTTAAACTCCTGGGATCAAGTGATCCTTCCGCCTCAGCCTGCTGGCATTACAGGTGTAAGCCACGGTGTTGGGCCCTCCGGTGAAACAGTAATAAGATTTCAGAAAGCTGTCCTCCTCTCAAGTCAGCCAAAACTGCGAGGAAACTGAAATCTGACTTTAAAAGACGACCTAACAAAGCTGAATTTATATACTCATAAAGAACCTAGGGCATTGCAGGCTTTTTAAAGAGAATGTCCAAATATAAGAACACTGACATTTAATGAGGGTCTTCTAAGTGCCACCAGGCATTATGCTAGATACTTAAACACATCATCACATGAATTTTTACTCAAACCTGAAGAATAAGGTTTAATTATCTTGATTTTGTAGATAAGATTCCCAGTAGGAATTTGCCTGGGGACATCAGTCTAATAAGGGCAGACAGGAGAACCAAGTCTGGCTGACCCCAAAACTCACCCTCTCTGTCAGGCCTGAAAAGGATCTTGGGAACAAGCAGTCTTTGCTGTTTCAATGTTAACACTGGAGTCCAGTGGTGTGGTACAGACAGAAGGGACAACCGTCTAATTAGTGAAGACCTACTTTGAGAATGCCAGTTGTCCAACCTAATTTTAAATCTGGAGGAGGAGTTTGCAAAATAGTGGGACATGGTAGGAGAATTTCAGATTCTCCAGGTACATCCAAAATTGTAATTATTTAATAAAATGG